CACGGGTTCAGGGGGGCATCTCACACGGGTTCAGGGGGGCATCTCACACGGGTTCAGGGGGGCATCTCACACGGGTTCAGGGGGGCATCTCACACGGGTTCAGGGGGGCATCTCACACGGGTTCAGGGGGGCATCTCACACGGGTTCAGGGGGGCATCTCACACGGGTTCAGGGGGGCATCTCACACGGGTTCAGGGGGGCATCTCACACGGGTTCAGGGGGGCATCTCACACGGGTTCAGGGGGGCATCTCACACGGGTTCAGGGGGCATCTCACAGGGGTCCAAACCAAAAGCCAACCAAGAACAAGGTTAGACAACAGCAGCTCCGGCACGGCCGAAAGGTCTCTCTCCAGTCTGTGGAGGACTATGAGGTGGAGGACCAATGGCTTGGGTTACCCCGGAGCGCGCCCTCGCTCGTATGACTTCCACAGAGCAAATTCAGCCCCATAAGGATGATGTCACCTGGATTAAAAGGCTCTACGCATTCCGCACAGTCCTGTCCACGGCCCGCCCCTCGCTGATGCGTTTCACCCTCATGGGAAGTGACGTCATGGGCGTGGGGCTGACTTCGCTCTCCGGACCTGGGCCGACTACTTAAAAATGGAGGTTCCCAAATACAATAAAATCTCCACAAAAGAAACAAATTCCATCTGCGTCCCCAAATACCCAACTCTAGGGGTGCACCTCCGTGGCAGCAGATACAAGGCGCCCCCCATTCATCGGAGATATCACCCCGTCCTAGGCCCACGTGGACTCTTCCACGGAGGGGAGACTTACTTTGGCCTTCTTCTTGATGTGTTTCAGCAGCGGCTGGACTGAGTGCGGTCCTGGCTGGGACAGAGCTCCAAACGAGTATTTCTTCAATGGAGGACGATGGAACTGTCTGAGCTTCATGGATCCCATGTGTGTGGGGAAGAATGGCTGCCTGAGCTCCACTGCCGGGATAGAGTGCTGCAAACAGGAAACAAGAGGGCTCATCATCCCAACGTCAGGCCCGAATACAACAATAGGAGATCATTCATGTCAACCCGAAAATAAGACCAGCTGCCTGCTTGCCAAGAGCGGGGGCCCCCGTCACCTCAGGGCCCCATGTAGTATATCAACACACTGCCCTGCCCAACTCTGTGTCATCAATGCTGCCCGCAGGAGGCGGAGATCAAGAGTGGGAGGGTCTATATGATATCTCTATACCCGGCACCACCCTACCCTTCTAGACTCCGCCCACCCCGCGTTCTCTACACATATCATTTCCTGTGCAAATGGTGCCAAAAAATTACCTGGATTATGTTTCCTCCGAATGTTCCCCGCAAGCCCTGCTGCTTAGGGTAGTAAAACTCATCATTGGACAGGTTCCAGGGGTCCTTCACCTCCGGCTGGGACATGTTCTTCAGAAGAGGAAAGAATATATATTAATCATCTCACAATTCAGATACCCCACCCCCTCCAGAGCATATGGAAGGGACAGCTGATGGAAGCTGACACCCCCAGAACTACACCTCCCTAAAGCCCTTTCCCAACACACAGTGTGTGGGCGGACTCTTGGGAGGCAAGGCAGCGGCATCGCTTTGGTGGTAAATAAATCAATGTAAACATGTAGACAGGACAGACAGGGACCGGGATAGGGAGCGGGATGGAGGGAGTTCTGTAGTCCACCAGGGCTGACAACGCTGGTTGGGGTTGTCAGCTCACCACAGGAAGTCAGGCGCTCCCTGGATTTGTGTCACATCCACAGATATATTTCTGTACTTGCAGAGACAAAATATGGAAAGCGGATGTATTGGAGGGACGAATGTTTGTATTTTATGTCACCCCGAAGGTCTCACCTGCTGCGGCTCCTCTTTGATGACACCCGTTTTACCCAGCAGGATTCGACTTTTCTTCAAGGACGACTCCTTTTTGCTTTCTTTGGAAGGGGAATTTGAGGTGGTTTCCTCCTTCTCATCCGGGATTTCTGTAATGAGATCCGGAATCATTTTCCATCATATGGACCATTTCCCAGCTCTGTGTAGACAAGCGAAGCCACCGCGCAGAGCAAAGCAGAGCTGTCCGGCATGGAGCTGCCCGTGCTGTGAGCGGAGTGCAGGCAGATGAATGACGGCACCTTCAGCCAATCGGCTCGCACATAACAACCGGCAGCCCTTCGCATCCTGACGTGCGGGTTTATACGCGCGAGCCGACTGGCTGAAGATGAAATGTTTCCTCTCGGCACGCTCAGCTATGCGCGCTCTCACAAGCCGACGTGCCGGAGAGAAAATTACATGACGCACGGCATGCGAAGGCAGCCCGCCACCGCTCCGCTTCACGTGTAGTGTGCCGCAGCCTTAAATGACATGTCTTTGCTGTGTGTCCACGTCACGCTGTTAGCAGCACGTCAGAAACTTTGCAGCTGAAATGCAGAGCCCACCGCCATTGACGACAATAACCCCCTGTCCCTGGAGTCATGGCATGCATAGGACTATGGACCCCCCCCCCCCCCCCCCGGGCACCAGTTTTGATGTCTGTGCT